AAAGATATTACTCTTGGTCAGTCTGATCTTTTCGAACCTATAGTTTTGTCAGAAACATCAAACCTAGACAAGTTATGTCTGATATCAAAGATTCGTTAACCTCATATGCTTAGGCAATAAGAAAGGAAAAAGGTATTGCCTTCAAGGCAATGGAAACAACCACAAGATACAATTGGCAGATGTGTTGCCCGTTGTAGACATGGTCTTCTCGTCTTAAGATAATGCTTCAACACCACCACAAGATACATTTGGCAGATATGTTGCCCGTTGTAGACATGGTCTTATTGTCTTAAGATAAAGCTTCAACAACAGCCAATTCTTAAACAGCCATTTTGTTGAATCAGAAGTCAACTTAATTGTGAATCGGCCAATGACATCCAGTTCAAGCAGTCGGTCTCAACAATCTACCACATCAACTGGTCAGTCAGTCCTTTTGTATGGCTCAACCACTGACCATGGATATGCCAGTAAGGAACCATCAATGTGACGACTGTGAGAAAAGATTTCTTACCACAGCTAAGTGACATAAACCGGACGCCACAACCATGTGACCAAAATACATTGCCGGTACCGCCCCCTGACCTGTAGTTCTGATAAGTACCGACTGCGACAATATGAAACATCAAGACATGATTATCGTCAATTTTACCCAGGGGACACAACAAGACATGCAGTCAGTGTCAGATCATCGGTGGAAAGAGTGGAAAGGACTTTTCCTTCAAGAAGTATCTCTGTTAATACCCATCCGTCCACAAGTACAAGTCCAAGGCAGTCTAAGGCAACCATACAACAAATAACAGCACTTTTGGATGAACAGATGCCAGATTTTGCTGAGCTCCTAAATGAGCCAAAGACACCTTCACCGCTGTAGGGGTTTAGGTATGAAATGACCACACCTATACTGTCTCCATCACTATAAATACCATCTGACATCCTCTTTAGCAAGTATGTAGAACCCGTATCTGTAGAACCATTCAAAGACCCAATGACGCGTTCATCAACAACCAGTCATTTATTTCACAACCAGAAACTCCAATATTATCAGACTGCACAAATACCAACCCTCCAGCATCACCAGAATCTCAAACACCTACAGACACACTCCTTGATTTGACAAACACCATTACACCAGTGATGATACAGATCAGACATGGTTGAGTTTACTCCTGGCATTTCAACCATTTTTCCATAGGATTGTACAGTGAAACTTGAACTTAAATATTGCAGTTGATGGACAAATCATATAATTCATATTTTAGTCTAAAACAAATAAAATTGATCATTTTCATTATATAGGTAGAGAAAACCGTGTGATAATGTCTAACAGTTCAGTTTGGTAAAAGACCGTTTTGAAATTTGAATTTCCCTCCAATCAAATTTCTTACAGTTACCTCCCTTTATGTAAATGATTGATTGATTGATTGATTGTTGTTTGCTTTGCGCCGCATTAGCACAGAAAGGCTTTATCGCGGCGAGAGCTAATTCGAATATTATAACAATTTAAGGTATATTTTTAAAATCAGACAAAATGTCTTTCAATAAACTAAAATTCTAGACTAAAGCAAATTGATTATTTACAAATTAAAATCAACAGAAAGATACTTGATTGAAATTAAAATCGTTTTAAATATAACAACATTTTTTATATTTTATAATATATTCCAATTTCTTTTTAAGAATGAAACAATATTTGTAAATGGAACATTATTAAATAAATCATACATATTAATGACATTGAAATGCTTCTTACGAATATCAGCAAAGTCAATACAATTAATTAAAACATGTTTAATAGTATACTTGCAGTTGCAAGGTACACATTGTGGTTCATCTTCCATTTTTAAAAGATACTCGTGTGTCACTCTAGTATGACCAATTCGGCATCTAGAAATAGCACACTGATCTTTTCTGCACATAAAATTATTAAAAGGTTTACCTAAATTAGGTTACATTTCATGTAATTTATTACCATCTCTCTTACTCCATTCATTTTTCAAAATATTAAAAACATATTCTCTAATATTAGATTTAAAATCAGTATATGGTATATCACAGTTAGATACAGTGTCACCCAGGGCATTCTTTGCCTCAAGGTCTACAGCTGTGTTTCCATGGATTCCAACATGACTCGGTACCCATAGAAATATTATTTCTTTAAGAAGAATTTTTAAATTCCTCATTACATATAAAATTTTGAGAATTGTTGGGTTTTTAATTTTAGTATTTTGTATAGCTTGTAAGCATGACGGTGAATCAGAACATATAATAAATTTGGATTTATCTGAAGAAGCAATAAATTTCAAAGACAAAATTATTGCTTCTGCTTCAGCAGTAAATATGGAAGCAGTAGATGGCAAACGGAGGGTTGCAGCTCTGTCCCTGAAGACAGCAGCAGATGCAACTCGGTCACCATCTTTTGATCCATCAGTATAGACAGTTGATTATGTAAATGAAAATCAAACATCAATTTCTTATCTATACTGATTTTCAATACTATTTTCTGTCCACAATAAGGACCCACTTAAAACAGAAATTTACGTGCAAGGAGTGTGGCACACGCTTTTCGTATAAAAGATCACTAATAAGACACGAACAAGCAGAACACATGGCAAAGTGTATAGTGTGTATAATCTGTAACATTTCTTTAAAATACAGATCCAACTATAAGAGACACATGCCAAAAAACATTAAATAATGTACATAAAATATGCATTAAATAAACAGATAACGAAATTGACATGTTTTTTCCATTTACATAACAGATTTAATTGGACTCTACAGCAACACTTAAATTCTTAAATCTATATTGTCATCAGAAATTCCATATCGTCTATGCGCTAATATCTTTTCTTCATTTGTCTTGTGGTGAGATCGTGCTCCTTCTGCACCTCTACTAGGGACACCAAATGAAGAAATTCTTCCACATTTACTTTTGGGATGAACAGCTTTTCTTTCAGGGATATCAAAATGGTTTGATCTGTAATATACATAAAACATCATACATGTGAGGGATAATTATTAGTTCATTCGATTACATCCATCATATAGTTTCTTGGCAGTATTAATAATACCCATTTCATTAGAAAAAAAGAAGCAAATCCGATCACCAATTGACAAAATGTTAGCCGCTTGTATACAGTTCTGTTATTAACTAATGAAGTTCAAAAATTTGAAGACTTTTCAGTTTTCGTTTTTGTGCCTATGAATATCATTGCAATCAAACTACTGGACACTTGACATCGATTGTGTGTTTTAACTTTGCACTGCATACATTGTCATACATAGAGCACCAAAGTTTATACGGAGGTGTAGTAAAAAGGAACATCACCAGAATTCTCCGAGGATTATTCAAAACAGGATGTCTCTAATCAAATGACAAAAAAGTTCAAAAATATCAAACGAATAGATAACAACTGTCATATACATGAATTACTTTATTTTAATAATACGAGTATTTAAACAGTTGTAAAACTCATTTTCTTCCATTTCTCCATCGGCGCTTCAGTTTTGACTGAGACTTTGTTCTGGATACTCTTGTTTTCTTATCCCCAAGGGTGACTGGGGAATAGAAGTATGGTCACCATTGGTCTTCCTCCGACCGGCAGTAAAACCCGTGCTAAAGTGGGGCGTCCGTTTGGCTGTGCGGGATGTACAAATTTGCAGCCACGTCCGGTCAGAATGGGGACGTTAAATCCGATGCCTCGTGTAAAGAGAGTGCCACGCTCTTTGCACGTTAAGAACCCTTGCAACAACTCTTTGAGGGGTCCGTAGGTGACCTGTTGCAAGGCTAAATTTCTGTCCCTATCCAATTACCCTCATTTCCCGTGGCAGTCTAAATTTCTCCGACCTTAATCCCTTAATCTATTACAGAACCTACCTATTGTATTTATTGTGAACTTGTTCTCGTCCTGAATATGCATGAAATATTTGCCACTGGACGTTAAGCAACCAACAATCAATCAATCAATCAATCTTGTTTTCTTGGAGGTCTTCATATAAAATTTTCTACAATAAAATGTAAAATATAATGACAGGGAATGGTGTTCACAGTATTGAAAATACCAAAAACAACTATCAAAATGAACCTCATAAAACGACAGATATATCAAGAGGAAAGCAACAGAATCGATTGATGTGTTGTTAGATTCAGATGCACCAGGTCAATCTTCAGATTTAAAGAAATTGATTTTCTCAGAGGGTATCAAGAATTTAAACGAATCAGAGAAAGACTCGGAACTTACCAAACTCATAGTAACTTTGTTTAATGATACAAATAATAATACAGTTAAGTATCAGCTTTTATCAATGATTGCTGAAAAATATTCAAAAAGATAACTTCTAAATATGATACCTGGATTAACAGTGTATTAGTTTGACCAAACTAGGCAATAGCTTCTTTACATGGACCAGGTAGTACCATGAACGAAATGGCAGAAAAATTCCATCGTTCAAGAATGGAACCAGAAAAGCTTGAGCATGCCTTAAGTTTTTTCTTTGATCCACAGTTCATTAATCTGTCAACATTTGGATCCCGTGAACTTAAATTAGAAAATGTTGATTAAATATTGATTCCAGAAGTGAACTACAGGCATGACAATTAATATAAGTTGGATATATCATCTAGTTCCAAATTAATGATTTATTATTAGTAAATTATCCTGCAACTAGGCTTTGAGCTGCCAATATTTTTTTTAGTCTCCTGGAATCCTATTCCTCACATTCATTTGTGTAAACATAGCAGTCATACAATAATTGGGTCATTATGAATTTAAATACATTTTATGCCTGAACTGCTCTGGTTAAGTTTTGCATTTATGTTCCGACTTTCTTTTTGAACTAATTATATTGCATCAACAAAACTTCATCAATGGATGTGCCTTGGATAGTACTGAGCATTCACAAGTGATGACCTACATTTTAGATTGGGACTCTAGACTTTGAAGTATTGTTTTTATTTCATTATTCTGCTGCTCTTGAGATCTGGAAAGGACGATGTTCAGATGAACGATGGTGAAGGTTGTACTGATGATCTGAGCTCTGGAAAGGATGATGGTCAGATGAGTGATGGTGAGGGTTGTACTGCTGTTTTGAGCTCTGGAAAAGACGATGGTAAGATGAATAATGGTGAAGGTTGTACTGCTGATCTGAGCTCTGGAAAGGACGTTGGTCAGATGAATGATTGTCAAGGTGGTACTGATGATCTAAGCTCTGGAAAGGACGATGGTCAGATGAATGATGGTGAAGATTGTACTGCTGATCTAAGCTCTAGAAAGGACAATGGTGAAATGAATGATGATGATGGTTGTACTGCTGATCTAAGCTCTGGAAAGGACAATGGTCAGATGAATGATGGTCAAGGTTGTTCTAATGATCTAAGCTCTGGAAATGATAATGGTCAGATGAATGATGGTGAAGGTTGTACTACTGATCTGAGCTCTGGAAAAGACGATTTTCAGATGAATGACGAAGGTTGTAGCACTGATCTGAGCTCTGGAAGGGACAACAGTCAGATGAATGATGTTGATGGATGAACTACTGATCCGAGCTCTGGAAAGAACGATTTTCAGATGAATAACGAAGATTGTACTGCTGATCTGAGCTCTTTAAAGGAAAATTGTCAGATGAATGATGGTGAAGGTTGAACTGATGATCTGAGCTCTGGATAATTGTCAGATGAATGATGGTGGAGCTGGTAATGTTGATCTGGTATATCTTCTGTCAAGTTAAGTTGAACGTGTTGTCTCTACAGAATTCCGTTATGTTATTCCACTTGATTCGCATGCTGCACCGGGTATTTTTGTATAAAAATGGCGGAAAAAACCATCATTATGGAAAAACTAGGTTTAGAAAGTGTCATACCTACTTTCGAGACAGAGAATATTGACCTGCAGACATGCATGGCATTATATGACACACATCTGATTAGATTAGGCGTAAAAACAATGGGTGACAGATTCAGGTTAAATGAAAGGATTAGTCATAATTGAGCAAAGATGGTCAGTTAAAAGAAAGTATAGCAGGGATTTCAAATTTGTCTTCTCGGTCGCAACCCACTTCATTAGCACGTGGAATACTAAGACAAAGAAATATCTTAGTTGGTTAAATAAAAAAAAAATAATTCAAAGAAAAGGTCATGGTCCCTGGCGAATTTTGATACGGATGATTACAAAGCGGAATTGGAAGGTGGCCAATCCAAAGGCAAAAGTAAAAAGAAGGCCAAATACACCAAGTGATTGATTGATTGTTGGTTGCTTAACGTCAAAACTTTTTTCTAGGATTTTCTCAATAAGATGTATAGGTACAGTGTCTAATGTGTTAGACGGCATGACGAATTCAACTTTATTTATAACTAAAATAGGACAATGCTGTTGATTAAAAATTACTTCATTCCAGGCCCTTTTGTTTCCCAAATAATTAATATTACCAATAATTTATAAGTTCCAGGTCGACGGATTCAAATAGAAACATTTTGAAAGCAGAGAAAACTGTGCATCTTAGAATCAGCATGACTTTTTTATCAGATGACAATACCAATACTAAAAAATCCAGGTTTAAATAGGGCTTACACATAGTTATATACTTTAATTCAGTTACTGACCGGCGACACGCGGGTTTGTCTAGTTGTAATAAAAGATCTCATTCCTCAGTGGCGGTTGCACTAATTTCATTTACTACACATTTAAATGTTATCCGGACGATCGTCAAATTTATGGAATCTTGATGTATGTAAGTCTTTCTTCATCTGAAATTATGCCAAGTCTACATTGTTGTTAACATCGTGATCAGTTATCTTTTCTTGTCTAATGGTCTGATCAGTGTCTACCGTTTCTTTTTAAATCCTTAATTTATCTAATGTAAATGAAGTCTCATTTTCAACTGGAATGAGTGTCGTCTAGTTTCTTTGGTGTGGCAAGTGTTTTGACACACCAGGCCCACATGATAAGTTGGATGGTGTCACACATTTTATAGGTTGAGCCTGTATTTTTGGTACGAATTCCTTATAATTGGTTGATTTTGCGAATTCCTTCTGTTTAAGCACTGGCACAACAATGTTTAACTGTGGAGAAATTCATAATGGCCACAAGATTTGCATCTCATCCCTTACACAAACAATAAGGGATAGATCATTCGTTTAAAGATCTCCCTACTTTCTTAAGTTTTTCACTATCTGCTTGATTGCCATAGATTTTATTCTCAACTGCCTTATCTGCAGTTTGGTATTCTCTATTTTTTCCTGGCTTCAGTTTTGGTGTGGATGTGCTTTTATAAAATATTTATTTTCCATTCGAAAAATAAAAAGATGTAAATTCATTTCAAGATTCAAACGATTACCACCCAAAAATAATAATCATTTGTATAAATACTAATGATTTGTCAACCTAATAGTTATCAAAGGTATCAGGATTATAATTATATACGCCAGACGCGCGTTTCGTCTACATAAGATTCATCAGTGACGCTCATATCAACATAGTTATTAAGCCAAACAAGTAAAAAGTTGAAGAGCATTGAGGACCCAAAGTTACAAAAAGTTGTGCCAAATACGGCTAAGGTAATCTATTCCTGGGATAAGAAAATCTTGACACTCCACAATGTCCATGTACAGTATTAGACTGCTATTTAAGAGAAGCAAATATTGATTTGTCTTCAGATGTGTATATATTCAAACCTTTGTCATTTTTGAAGAAATCACAGAATTTTGTTCTTAGGAAGAAAAACTATAGTCGTATACCAGAGCAAGATAATTGATAAAATGTGCATTATCAGAGATTGGTTGTACCTTTTAAGATTTTGGTTTGCATAGTTTTAGATCGGCTGGTGCCACAGCTGCCGCTCAAAACAATATTTCAGATAGGTTATTTAAAATACATGGTCGGTGGAAATACGATCAGGCTAAAAATGGCTATGTATTAGAAAGTTTACAGAAGAGTTTGTCAGTATCTCAAAATCTTGGTATATGATAAGTACTTAACGTCAAGTTTGCTTTCTTTGTGCGTCGAGATGGCCATTGCGCCTAACAGTACCTTAATATGTACTAGTATATAGTTTTATATTATGCCTTTATCGTATAAACATATCTGTATGTGCTCAGATATGTATGCTTTACAAAAATCTAGAGAGATTTAGCACATAAATACTTTGTGTTCGTTTGAACATAGTGAATTTAGAACATAAATATATTAATGTGCGGTTCGCGTATAATTTTTTAAGTGTGTAATTCTTGTTCTGTTGTGTTTTCACAATAGTTGTAAACCGGTTTTGGCGGTTAGTATATAATGAAAGATTGCACGAGATTTAACTATCGAAGTTTGGGCAGTGACCATTGTCGTACGTTTCTTTTGTATTGAAGTTTAATGTTCATTAAGAATTATGTTTTTTAATGTATTGAAGTTGTATGTAAAGAATTAATGTGTTTTGTATATATTTTGTAGATGTTTGATTGGTGTCTTTTACCGGTATTGTTGATCAAATTGAGATTATGTGATGTTTATAAAGGATTTGTTTTTCGTAGACGCACGGTTTCCGTATTCAAAACATGAACTGTTTCTAAATTATTAACATCTATTTTATCAGCAATCAAAGCCGGGCTTCAAAGTAATTGTGAAACTGCCTATTCTAGAGGTTTGTGAATCAGATGTGGATATTAAAAAATTCCAAAGATACGTACAATCCACTCTCTTTCATCTTGCAATAGCATTAAAACATTTGACTTTTCTACACTTTACACAAGTATTCCACATTCCAAGCTAAAAAACAACTTGCAAGAGTTGGTATTGCTTTGTTTCATGAAAAAGAATGGCCAACGTAGATACAAGTCTCTTGTCTTAGGGAGGGATAAAACATACTTTGTAAAAGATTACAAAATTGATTCAAACAAAAAATTCTCTGAAGCTGACATTATCAAGATGCTTGATTTCTTGATTGACAACGTATTTGTTACGTTCGGAGGACGTGATTTTCAAGACTGTCGGCATTCCAAAGGGAACCAAATGTGTCCATCTTCTTGCCGACTTGTTTCTTTATTATTCTGAGGCTGACCTCATACTGGAACTTCTTAGGAAGAAAGATAAGAAGTTAGCAATACCCTATAACTTTACTTTCCGCTATATAGATGATGTTCTCTCACTTAATGATTCAAAATTTGGTGACTATGTTTAACGCATCTATCCCGTCGAACTAGACATTAAGAATACAACAGATACAGTTAAGTCGGCATCATATCTTGACTTACATCTAGAAATTGACAATGAGGGTCGGTTGAAAATAAAACTTTACACGACAAAAGAGATGATTTCAGCTTTCTATTTGTAAGTAGCAACATTCCAGCAGCACCTACATACGGGGTATATATCTCCCAATTGATAGGAAATTATTTTCTAGATAGAAAATGGCTGCACACAAGGAATCTTATAACTAAGATTTTCCAAAGAGTGAAGTTGAAATCATCCCTTCGTAAATTTTACGGACACCATCACTACAATCCCCTTTCATGAATGTGACCTACCGAATTAGACTATTTGCCGGATTTGCTTTAACATGAGCAACACGACGGGTGCCACGTGTGGAGCAGAATCTGCTTACCTTTCCGGTGCACCTGGGATCACCACCAGTTTTTGATGGCTTCGTGTTGTTTATTCTTTAGTTTTCTATGTTGTGTCATGTGTATTATTGTTTGTCTTTTTCATTTTCAGCCATGGCGTTGTCAGTTTATTTTCTATTTATGAGTTTAACTGTCCCACTGGTATCTTTCGCCCCTCTTTTACAAATGTATTTCAATGTGTGTATGACCTTTGCGAACCTCTTCTCTTCTGGTACCTTTACATTAAAATAAGAGATATCACAAGTGCGCGTAGAAAAAGAAACCAGTTTATCACCAAGTAAATAGAGGGAAAACAAAATATTTTATTATTTCAAAAACGGAAATGTCAAAACTTTTAACGACATATGAACGAATATGTGAGAACACAACAAAGAATTGAACGCATATGGTATCCAGAAGACGATTGTATTTTTTTTCTAATTGATCTTAAACAATGTAACTGCAGTGCAAAGTAATATATAGCTTTTTGACCCTCCTCCTTTTTGGGCTTAAACTTTACTACATGAGAATAATCATTTGCAATCTTCACTATATTCGGGGTGCGTGCGCCTTATTCTGGAAAACAGCTAGCTTTCCTTCAGCATCAGTATCATCGGCTGGAAAACAGCTAGCTTTCCTTCAGCATCAGTATCATCGGCTGGAAAACATTTGTTATCAAACATGCATTAAAAACCAGCAACAACAACTAGAAGAGCTAAAGGCAAACAAAAAATCCATGCACTCCTCCAGCGGAAAAAAAGAAAAGGCGCACGCCACTGGCAGCAAAGCAAAACACAAGTGTATCTGCATCAGAATTACATAAAAACACCACCAACTTTGAAACCATATTTTGAGTTAAAAGCATAGTGAAAGGACAAGCAGAAATAAAGAGAAAATAGAAAGTAACATCATCTTTATATAGACATTACATAAATCAAAGTAGAGCCTGAA